TAACAACATTAGACATTAACACGTTGATGGACAAAATCATATATTACTGTTATGACAGTGGTATAAAAACTATTTTAAAAATGTCATTACTGATATAGCAGTAATATTTTCAATGATTTTTTATGAAGGAGGAAGTTGTTCTGACTCCATGCATCTCATCTTATTTTAAAGTAAGTGTTTGTAAAATACCATGTCATTAACTGTCTATCAACGTGTTAATGATTGTAATTGTCTATATTGAGATGTGAGCTAAGTAACTTTTTAATCGATAAAGTGGGCATTTTATCAATTATTGACGGTACTATCTTCAACTAGATACAAATTGTAATCATTTGAAATATCATTGAAAAAATTGGTCAAAAAAAATGAGCGACAAACACAAAAAACGGTAGCACAGTGTAGACGAGGCATAGGTGGGACAAGTATAGATGATATCTGACAGTGATTAAAATCAATATCATAAGAAACGCTTCGATGCAATTCTGTAGATAGTGTTTCATTTAGAGAAATTGGTGGATTATTCCAAAAGCAACATCAACTCTTATTTCTTTAATTATATCCTGATTAGTTGTTCTTTGATTTTAAAATATAATATATAAATAAATACTAATTATAATTATTAAATTTAGGATGAAATGATATTCAATAATTTAATATTGTAATTTAAACGGAAAAATTTTAAAAATAATAAAGAACTTATATTTTGCTTTACTTTTATGTGTATAAAAATTTAAAAGGCTGGATACAATAATTTTCAATAAAAACTGTTTGTTACTATAAATAAATGCACTGGACTACAAGGAACTTTCATCAGAAGCAAAAATATACTTTAAAAAATCAACTTTTTGCGTTGTTTTCAAATCTGCAATTAGACTTTTTCTATCACTTCTAATTTTTAATATTATTACTAATTACATATAAAACAATAAATAAAAGAAAAAAAAATTGTTTTCAAATTATTACTGATTTAATTTTTAATATATTAAATTATCAGTCCATTTTTAACCTATTTTTTTGATTCTTTAAAATTGATGAAAAATTGTTGACAAGTTTTGTGAAAGTTTATAGTAAAAAAATTGAATTTGTTACCATAACTTTCAGCTCAATGACAAATTTGAAATTAAATAGAAAATTTTATGATAGTTAAAACTATGATATTTTTAAGACTGATTATTTAAAACTCATTATTTTTTTGCATCTTTATCATAATACTTAAGAAAGAAATCATAGTAATCATTTCTAAGTAATTTTTGGTATTTAAAAAGATTCTACAATTGAAATATCCAGACTGAGTTACTTTTAATGATTTACTTTAACTAAAAAAAAAAAGTTATTATTTTGAATCCCTCTTGTGGGCAGGTAAAGAGTTAGATTTATAAAAAAACCAAATGATAGGTAAAGACATGCATCTAAATAAAAAAAAAATTATACTGATTTTGTAATTTTTGACAAAGTTATAACATTTAACAAAGTTATAAGTTTTATACACTGTACTACAAGGAACTTTCATAAGAAACAAAAATATAATATTCTAAATCAACATTTCGCAATGTTTTTAAATGTGCAATTAGACAATTTCTATCACTTCTAAGTTTTAATATTATTAAAAAATAGTATTTACATATAAAAAAAATAATTAAGAACAAAAAAAAATTGTTTTAAATTAAGATTGATTTTGATTATTAATATGTAAAAAATAAGGAAAATGACATATTTAACCTATTTTTTTAATCGTTTAAAGTTGATTGTTGTAAATGTTTATAACAAAAAAAAATAATTTATTTTACCATAACTTTTAGCTCAATTGGCAAGTTTGACATTGACATCATTAAATAGATTTTATGACAATTAAAAAAATTATATCATAAGATTAATATGAATCCAGAAAGTTTTATAATTACTATTTATTGTAAATTTATTAGAAAAGCTCAATATTTTTTTGCATTTTTATCATAATAGATAACTTAAATAGAAATAATGATAATAATTTCCTAGTAACTTTTGGTGTTTGAAAAGATTCTGCAATTGAAATATTCAGAATTTAATTAATTTTAATGATTTAATTTAACTAAATGAACCAATCAAAACATAGTTCTTAAAAAGATTACAACATGTTACCAAAAAATGTTGAATAATTTAGTCTAGTAATAGCACATACAAATAGAGTTAAAAAAATTATTAAATTACAAACTAAAATTATTTAATTTTGTAGTTGAAACCTATCATATCAAACTTAATTCGTCAATAAATACATTGAAAACTTTAGAAATGAATGATTTTAATTGTTTTTATGGAGAACATGGAATAACTAACTGTTTAATCGATAAATTAAAATTTATTTCAATTTTTTAGGGTAATATCTTCAACTAAATACGAAATGTAGTCTTTGACGTATCGTTGAAAAATTGGTCAATTGAGAGCTCAGAAAAATGAGCGATAATTACAAAAAATAATAATAATAATTAAATTTAGTATGAAAATAATACTTTAATTTCATACTAAATAATTGTAATCATTTGACGTATCGTTGAAAAAAGTTGGTCAAGTTAGAGCAGAGAAAATAAATGATAATCACAAAAAAATATCTTCTCAGCTAAAACATAAAATATAGTAAAATAATTGTAATACGAATAAGAAATTTCTTCTTGCAAGGGGCGACTAAAGTGATGGGATCCTCGATCTTTATTGAAGTTATTGAATCTAAATGAGATAAAAATCAAACGAGCTAAAAATTTATACTAACTTAAAAAGAATTAAGAAAAAATGCAAAAAATTCCTTAATATATGCGGGTTGGAACCTTGTATCCCTAGCTTGTGAAACATATATTTTACCTACTTGGCAACCGTACGTCGATATTATCGACTGAAAAAATTGGCTATTTAAGCTAGTTCAAATTTCAAAATTATTTTTCTCGACTTCAAAAAACAAAAAAATTTAAATAAGTTTAACTTTCTATGCTATATTAATTTTTTATAATATTATAATCATATAATATTTATGAAAATCTGTACTCCCCTTGTCAGGTATTTTAAAATAAAATAAAATACAAAACCCAGAATTTTAACACAAAAATAGCATGTTTTTGAATACGGCCGTCATTTTCACCATGAAGACTATGAAGTCCAGAGGTCAAATTTTTTTTTTCAAATTAAAGTATATTACATTATCTTTAATTTAAAATATATATAAAAGTGTCAGTCTTTCAGAAACATTTTCAAAAGTTAATTTTTTGTAAAAAAGTTACCATTTTGAAACCCTTCCTGTGGGCTGTTAAAGGGTCAAATGTTCACAAAAATATATAAAATGATAGGTAAATATCTAAGGTATCTATAAAAAAAAAAATTATATTGATTCGGTCATTTTTAAAAAAGTTAGGGCAATTTTAAGTTAAAAAAATTGAAGAAATGTCGAAAATTAGCGATTTTGAAATTTGTAATTTTTTTACAAGGGAAATTTTTTCCATTTTTGAGGGTAATGTTTTGGACTAGATACGATTTGTGATATTTTGACGTAACGTTGAAAGAAATCCGTTTGGGGAGAGCTGAGAAAAAGTGGTAACAGACACAAAAAAAAAAAAAAACACATCATAATAAAATTAATACCTTCTCAGCTTCGCATGGAAGCTAAAAATACATTTAAAAAAAAAAGCTATTGATAACTATAACAAATTATTAACTAAATAACGAGTTAATTCGACATCCAACAAAAGGTGACTTACCTAAGGAAGGGAATGAAAAAAAAGGCGCAGACAAAATAGTTAAAGAGCATCAGTACGAGAATTGTCGTGAATTTAATTTCTTGATTTATTAGCTAATAATTAGTTTTTAGATTCATCCCTTATAACTTATTTTTTCAAATGTCAACTTACATAATTAACTAGTTTATTTAATAGATAATGATGTAATTAAGAAATTGATTCATCGATAACAACTTTTGGACCAGTATTTCAGAAGTTATTAACAATTTAAAGTTAAAACTGAAGGTAAGGAGAAATGGGTGCAGCTATATTTATCACTAGTCGTTTCCCCCTCGTAATCTTCCTTCCACTAAGATATAAGAAGTGTATTGTAATAATATTTAAATATATATATATTATCGAGGTTAACTGTATCCGCACCAGTCAAGACTTTACGCTAAGAAATGATAAGACACCATAGTCTTGCTGATTATATTTTGAATATAGGTAGGTAAATACTTATAATTTTATTTGGACAAGAACAAAGTGAGTTTTAAGAATATTGATATCGACTATAGGATATTTGTCGAAAATATTATTATTATATAAAATATCATATGAAAACAGTTTAAAAATTTAAAAGAAAGGATATTAAATTATAATAGACGTGGGTCCCATTAAGCAGGATCTTTTGAAGTGTGTATTTTATCACGATTTTGTACGATATTTTATAAGGTAAACAAAAATTTAATTAATGGAAATAAACGCAAAATCGTATAAACGATTATTATCACTGAATTGAGAAGTTAAGACAAGATTAATTCAAACAAGTACGAAAAGAAAAAATTTAAGTGAAAAAATTTATTTAAATTTTTTATTCCATAAAACATCACGTAATAAACAAAAATAGAAAGAGGTAAGATACGGATATCATTATCGAGTCATTTAAATAATTAAATCTAGACTTTATTATACACTTCAAATCTCAAGACCCCTCTATAATATCTCAACTCACTATTCCTCGATTCCCCTTCTTATTTAAATTTGATTTATTTTTGTTTATTGATTTCAATGTTGAATACATCAAACGAAATATATATAAAGTGATTATTCTATTTATAGTAATTTATTATTACAGTAATATTTGTATTAATTGTTGAGTAATTACAATTTTATTTTTACATACAAATTTTTGAATGGAATTAAAAAAAAAAGATTTTTATTTAGGATAAAAATCCAAAGTAACTTTAAAATAATACAATTTATACTTGTTAATGCATCAAGTTTATTATCATGTACTGGATACTACAAGAATTTATTGAAAAACAATTTTTACTCACTGGGTTTATTACTATTCGAATTTTACCTTAAAAAATTTTGTTTTATCGTAGAGAGTTCATACTGGTGTATATAAAGTTTACATTATGTACTATGCCCGCGATAATTATCCACTCTTTAAATCAAATTGCTGTAATGAATGAAGGAGCCATGAAATAAAAAAAAAAGTAAGAATAAAATTGTTTGTAATTTGTTTTCCCTATAGTATTATCATATTCAACATAGGGGATCCCATCTGAGAAAATTCAATTTTTCACCCTGAAGATAAAAAAAAAAATAATTTAATCATATATTATTGTTGACTTTATTGAACCAAATAAATTTTCACTCACAAAAATTATTAATTTTCAATAATTTCTGAAAAAATAAGTTTCTTACCAGCCAATAATCGATCACCTGTGTAGAGGTTGATTTTTGCGAAAAATTTTATGTTAAATTTTAAGAGCATAAACTATCAAATAAACTAAAATTAAATTGTTTTGTACATTAGTTTATTAATTAATTATATGTCGTTAAAAATATTTAAGAATTGAAAAAAATAATGTAGGAATAGTATATATTTGTATGATTAATATTTAAAACTTTTTTGGTTCCTATTATAACAGACATCGCGGTCGCATCGCACAATTCTACAACATAGAGTTAATTTACTATATTGTTACAAGTTTTCACGAAATGTTTTTACGCATTGTGATAGACTTTTAATCAAATCTTGATTTTCAACAATTGGAACACAAAAACTTAAAGCCAATTCATTATCTAATTTCTCTAAATTATGTTGATTATTTTTTTCATTATTATACATCTTCCGAAATTCTTGTACATGTCCCTTAAGAATTTCAATGTTAGCATATCTTTCTATTGAATAAAATAACATTATTATAGCAGTTTTAATTATCGCTAAAGTACACTAGTTAAAAAAAAGTTATAAGTTGCAGAAGTGTTATTGCTAAGTGTTTCGGGATTGCTAATTACGTAAATGATCTCGGAATTACTCTATCAGATTTTGTTTTTTAGATAATGCATTTCTTCTATTTTTGAATGTGTGCAAACTTTTATATAACTCATTAAAATCGAGCATAAGTAATATAATGCAATACTAAAACTTCCAATTCTTCAACTTAAATTAACATTAAATTTACGTATCAATCAATCCGTACCAAATTTGTATAGAAGTAAACTGACATAACAAAACACAGTTCTATAATATATTTTATGAACTATTAACGAAAATTCATTGAGTTTTATTATTCTTACTTCAATGTAAAATTAATTTAGGTTGTAGAATTAGACATTTTAATGTCGTATTATATTCGTTTATCTGTAATTATTATACTATACAGAATGGAACAGATCGAATTGACAACTCATATAACTAATGATTTACATAACATTTTATACTTTTTTTTTACTTTTTAATCAATTTTTACAACATAAAACTATATTAAAAATATTTTTATGTTATTTTTCGAAATTATAAAAAATATTTTAAAAATTAATTTTTTTATTAACATTTTTTTTTAAGATTTATAGATAGCCATTATATGGATAAGTTTTAAGGAAAAATGTTGATACCAAAAACTCTTATTTTAATTCAGTAGCTACGTTTATACAGCATTTTGAAAATTGTTAAATTATGATTTTTTTATACAATTTTCCTATGGCATCAAATGTTAGTCCATATTATGTAAACTACTAAAGTAAACACTGTCATATTATCTTATTCATTTGTAACAGTACGCGATTTCTTTTCGATGGATAATAATAATGTTTAACACGCTTTTTGTAGAAATGATTATCTCTAATCTTTATATCCAAAGTTAGAAACATTATCGTATGCCAACTACGAGTGTTCCATGGTTAGCCTAGTTAAAAGTGATAACAATTATTAATTTGCATGTTCTGTCATTGTAATCATTGTAATCATATTATTATAGAATATTCCTTGTTAGGATATTTCATAATAAATGCACTTATTCAATATTATTCACGTTTAAATTTGTGATATATGAACTTATTTAATTAAAAACTCAATATGTTGAGTTTTTATTTTCTTTTTATAATTTTCATTATACTACTACTTAATAACGTAATAAGTGTTTACTTCCGTACTTTACTTAATATGGACTAACATTTCATACCATAGGAAAATAGTAAAAAAAATCAAAATTTAACAAACTTAAAAATGCTGTATAAACGTAATTACTGAATTAAAATAAGTATTTCTGATGTCTATTTTAGCTTCGTTGCGAAGCTGAGAAGGTATTGGTTTAATAATGATGTGTTTTTTTTTTTTGTGTGTCTGTTACCACTTTATCTCAGCTCTCACTCAACGGATTTCTTTCAACGATATGTCAAAAGATCACAAATTGTATCTAGTCGAAGAAATTACCCTTAAAAATTGAAAAAAATTCCCTCATTCCCCGTAAATGGGGGAAACCTCCAAAAAAATTACAAATTTAAAAATCGCTAATTTTCGAAATTTTTTCGTTTGTTTTTACTAAAAAATGCCATAATTTTTTTAAAAATGACCGAATCAATATAATTTTTTTTTATAGATGCTCGATGTCTTTATCTATCATTTGGTATATTTTTTATGTAAATTTGACCCTTTATCTGCCCACAGGAGGAAATTTAAAATGACAAGTTTTTCACAAAAAATTTACTTTTTCAACTTAACTTTTGAAAATGTTCCGGAAGGTCTAGCACTTTTATATATATCTTAAATTGAAGCTAATGTAATATACTTTAGTTTGAAAAAAAAAAAATTTGACGTCTGGACTTGTCTTCATGGTGAAAATGACTACCGTATGCAAAAATATGCTATTTTTTTGAAAAAATTCTTGATATTATATTTTACATTTTAGCTTCGATGCGAAGCTGAGAAGGTATTAGTTTTACTATGATGTGTTTTTTTTTTTTTGTCTGTTACCACTTTTTCTCAGCTCTCACCAAACGGATTTCTTTCAACGATATGCCAAAAGATCACAAATCAATGTAATTTTTTTTTATATAGATGTTTGATATTTTTATTTAGCATTTGGTATATTTTTTTTGTAAATTTGACCCTTTATCTGCCCAAAATGGGGGGATTTAAAATGACAACTTTTTCACAAAAAATTAACTTTTTCAACTTAACTTTTGAAAATGTTCCGGAAGGTCTGACACTTTTATATATATCTTAAATTAAAGTTAATGTAATATACTTTAATTTGAAAAAAAAAATTTGACCTCTGGACTTCATGTCTTCATGATGAAAATATATATTATATAATATTTTTTTATGAGAAATAATATGTTTTATTAATCTTTTTTTTATTCGACATAATTTATCTTAATCAAGATATTATTAAGGAGCTAGCACATCATATAGCTTTTGGAATAATACAACAATTTTTTAAAATTAAACACTATCTAAAGATTTGCATCGAAGCGTTTCTTTTTTTTAATAGTGATTTTAATCACTGTCAGATATTAATTATACTTGATTCAACTATGCTACGTTACCACAGTGCCGCGACCTCCCTGTGCTGGGTTTTTTTCTTTAAAACTTATCTATAAAATCTTCAAAACTTAAAAAGAATTAATTTTTAAAATATTAATTTGTAATTGAGAAAAATAACATAAAACATATTTTAAATATAGTTCTATATTGTAAAATTGATTTAAAAAAACGGTAGCAGAGTGGGGTCGAGGCATAGATGGGACAAGTATAGATGATATCTGACAGTGATTAATATCACTATCATAAGAAACGCTTCGATGCAAATCTGTAGATAGTGTTTCATTTAGAGAAATTGGTGGATTATTCCAAAAGTAACATCAACTCTTATTTCTTTAATTATATCCTGATTAGTAGTTCTTTGATTTTAAAATGTAATATATGAATAAATACTAATTATAGTTTTTAAATTTAGTATGAAATTGTGATGTATGCTATGATGTATGGTTAATTGTGTTGGGCGGTTGATAAGAAAGTAGAGCAGAGAATTAGTGTAGCAGAGATGAGAATGTTTAGTTGGATGAGTGGAGTGACTAGAGAAGATAGGATAAGGAACGAGCATATAAGAGGAAGTATAGGTGTTGCGTCAATCGTGGATAAGATGACCGAAAATAGACTTAGATAGTTTAGTCATGTTATGAGAAGAGAAGAATCAGAAGCTGTAAGAACAGTTATAGAAATGAATGTTGAAGGAACAAGAGATAAAGGAAGACCAAAAAAGAGATGGAGGGATGCTATTGAATGCGATTTGAGGACAGCTGATGTGAGCGTAGAAGAAGTGGTAGATCGTGTCAAGTGGAAGCTTAGGATAAGGGTGGCCGACCCCAAGTAGTTGGGATTAAGGCAAAGAAAAAGAAAAATATTACCAGAAATTCCGGTGGCAATTGACATAATATGATTGTTGTTTCGGAATGTACAATTTAGCGTTTAGTTGGGTTTAAATAATATAGCGTCAAATCAATTACCTACTCTATCGCTTGTATATTAATATACACTACACTTTAATGATACAATAAATAAATAAACTCACACATACACACATTAGCATTTATAACATTGTGTCTAATGTAAGTATAACATGATATAAAGTAACCGTAAAATGAAGAAAATGGAATATAAATTTTAGTACTCATATTAAATGTAATGTAACTCGAAAAATATTTGTTTAAATGAAAAAATATAAGATAATTTTTTTGTATATAATTGTCTTTTAAACAATTTTTGTACGAAATTTTTTTTTGTAAGTTAAATATTTTTTGAGAAAATTAAAAAAGCTCATGTTTTTGAACTTTTGCGAGGCTGTAAAAAAAATCATGAATTTTTAACATATTAAAAATCTATTCAGTAATTATTTGAAAACAATTTTTTTTTTCTTTTATCTATTGTTTTATATGTAATTAGTAATAATATTAAAAATTAGAAGTGATAGAAAAAGTCTAATTGCAGGTTTGAAAACAACGCAAAATGTTGATTTTTTAAAGTATATTTTTGCTTCTGATGAAAGTTCCTTGTAGTCCAGTGCATTTATTTATAGTAACAAACAGTTTTTATTGAAAATTATTGTATCCAGCCTTTTAAATTTTTATACACATAAAAGTAAAGCAAAATATAAGTTCTTTATTATTTTTAAAATTTTTCCGTTTAAANCAATTTCATACTAAATTTAAAAACTATAATTAGTATTTATTCATATATTATATTTTAAAATCAAAGAACTACTAATCAGGATATAATTAAAGAAATAAGAGTTGATGTTGCTTTTGGAATAATCCACCAATTTCTCTAAATGAAACACTATCTACAGAATTGCATCGAAGCGTTTCTTATGATATTGATTTTAATCACTGTCAGATATCATCTATACTTGTCCCATCTATACCTCGTCCATACTGTGCCTCGACCCTACTGTGCTACCGTTTATTTTTATTATAAACATTTACAACAATCAACTTTAAACAATTAAAAAAATAGGTTAAATATGTCATTTTCTTTATTTTTAACATATTAATAATCAAAATCAGTATTAATTTAAAACAATTTTTTTTGTTCTTCATTATTTTTTTTTATATGTAAATACTTTTTTTTAATAATATTCAAACTTAAAAGTTAAAAAAAAAAAAAAA